CCAGAGACAAGGAGACGAGAGGCCATGCCTCAGAGACGAAGCAGGGAGGGGTGACCAAGGCGGTGGTGCCAGAGGAGAGTCTCGTGAGACAGGAGACGATACGAGCAGGGGGCAGACTCAGGACCAGACCTGGACGCTGCAGCAAACACCTGACCCGACGCAGCTACCTGACCAGACGAAGTGACTGGAGGAGACTCAGTGGTCAGTGTGTACAGGCTCGACCCCGGCCGACGTGTAAACGTGGCCAGGTGTCGGCCTGTCCGAGCGTCCATGTAGTGGGTCACCCGCTTACTCGCAGGAGTGAACTGGTGAACCCCCGCATTCTGTAGGTCAGCACCACTCACCAAGTTCGTAGAGAACGAGGGGAGGTAAAGACCAGACAGGGTGCCAGAAGGGGCCGCCGGACACGGGAGGACAGTGGAGAAGTGAGCAAGGACAAGACCTGCAGAGGGGTCTGCCAGAGAGACTGCAACTGGCCGACCAAGCGGCGTGAGTGTGGTGCGGTCTCAAAAGAAGGAGCGGGAAGCCCCCGAGTCAAGGGTGAAGGTGTGGGAGGCCGAAGCCGACGCGGTACCTGAGAGCGCAGACACACCAGCACCTTAGGAAGCAGACGCACTGGCACCTAGAGCAACAGCCTCGCTAGCACCTAGAGTAGCAGCCTCACCCGTACCTAGAGTAGCACTCTCAATGCCCGGGCCGGGCGGAAAACACCGGTAACAGTCACCCTCATCACTAATAGTCACAGCATACATGGCAGCAAGAATAGCATCAAAGTCAAGGTCAAAGATAGCTACAACCGCCCTAGACAGCTCTCCCCAGCGGGGGATCTCAGTGGCCTCAGGGAACTGGTGACGCCAAGCGTCCGTCAGGCGGCCGAAGTAGTGCTGGGTGGGGTGCGCACCCCCGCACTGCTCACCCGCGCGGTCGTCGGTGCGTAGGACGTAGGTGCACGGACCAGTACCCCCACCCCGCTGTCGTGCAGCGTACCACTCACGGAGCTGCTGAGGGGGGGGGGTGTCACGAGTGCGCTGTTGCTGCTGCTGCTGCTGCTGCTGCTGCTGCTGCTGCTGCTGCTGCTGCTGGCGCTGACCACCACCGGAGCCGGCCCTCTGCGTAACGCCACCCCGACCAGCTCCACCTCCTCCGCCGCCGCCTCCTCCACCGCCGCCACCTCCACCACCTCCGCTCCCACCGCCTCCGCCGCCTCGGCCTCCGCCTCCACTGCCGCCACCTACACCTCCACCCCCGCCACCACTCCCACCACCACCCCCACCCCCTCCACTGCCTCCACCACCACCTCCACCGCCCCCGCCAGCCCTTCCAGCGCCCTTGCCCCCTTGCCCTTGCCGGTGCGGCGTCTTCCGCTAGGGGCAGACGCAGCGCAGACCGACTCGAAACCAACGAGGTCGGCCGCAGCAGCAGAGGCAACAGAGGGCAAAAGGGGGGAGGGGGAACACCCCTCAAAGACCGGGGTGCGAGGGTCACCACAAGAGGCTCCTAAAGCGACTATGCTCTTCTCAGCTGCTAGGAGGGCCTTCTCGAGGAGGTCAACGGTGAGAGTGGTGGGGCAAACTGAGAGGAAGTGGTCCCTGACTACGCGAAGGGAGTCAGGGAGCCGGGTGACTATGTAGTAGAGGGTGATGTACATGGGGGGGGGGGGGGGGGGGGGGGGTTCTTGGCGCAGAACTCAGCAGGAAGCGCAGCACGGTAGCGAATGTCACTAGTGCGGAGGTGCGTACTGAGGTCAGCGACTGTGGGAAAGGCAGCAAGGTCAGGGAAGAGGTACGGTAGCATGAGGCGGCTCAGTGCAGCAGTGGCAGGGGAGGAGTAGCGTGCAACTACAGCGTCGTACAAGGTCTGAGCACTCTTGTACTGGCTAAAGTGTGCACGCTCAGTGGTTGGTAAGTGGCGACGCACAGCAAGACGAGCAGCAGCATCGCGTGTGGCCCACTGTGAGCGAACACTGGCGTCAGGATCAGCAGCAGGGGCAGGAGAGGCACCAGAAGTGAGGTCAAAGAGGGAGAGTCCGTCTGCCCTATCGCACTGGAGAAACAGCTGGAGGTCATCGACCCAGACCTCAAAGTCAATGGCACGGCCCTCAGCATCAAAAGTAAGGACATTAGGGGTAGCCATGACTGTAGTGGCCTAGTAGGGAGTGAGCTCACCAGTCCGAGGAAGGAGGGCCGGAGCGCACCGGTAGGAACAGCAGCGGCTCGATAGTAGGGCGGCTCGGCGGCTCGGCAGCTCGGCAGCTCGGCGGCAGGGCGGCTCGACTGCTGGGCGGCTCGGCTGCGGGGCGGCTCGGCTGCTCGGCGGCTCGGCGGCTAGGCGGCACGGCTGCTGGGTGGCTCGGCAACTCGGCGGCTGGGCGGCTCGGCTGCTGGGCGGCTCGGCTGCCGGGCGGCTTGGCTCCTGGGCGGCTCGGCTGCTGGGCGGCTCGGCTGCTGGGCGGCTTGGCTGCCGGGCGGCTCGGCTGCCGGGTGGCTCGGCTCCTGGGCGGCTCGGCTGCTCGGCAGGTGGGCGGTTCGGGGCCGCAGGCGGCGGCTGCGTGGCCCCAGGTGGCGGCGACGGGGCCGCAGGTGGTGGCAACGGGGCCGCTGGTGGCGGTGACGGGGCCGCCCGTGGCGGCGACGGGGCCGTAAGGGTCCAAGACGGGGCCGCGGTGGGGCCTTAAGGGGCCTGGACGGGCCGTAGCGGGGCCGTAGCGGGGCCGTAGCGGGGCCGTGGCGGGGCCGTAGCGGAACGTAAGGGGCCTAGACGGGGCCACGGAGGGGCCTAGACGGGGCCGTAGCGGGGCCGTAAGGGGCCTAGACGGGGCCGCGGAGGGGCCTAGACGGGGCCGTAGCGGGGCCGTAAGGGGCCTAGAAGGGGCGGCGGAGGGGCCTAGACGGGGCCGTAGCGGGGCCTCAAGGGGCCTAGATGGGGCAACAAAGGACGCCGCGAGCGGCCGAAAGGGGCCGCGCGAGGGCCGTAAGGGCGACGCAAGGGGCCTTAAGGGGCCGTAAGGGGCGACGCGAGGGGCCGTAGAGGGCGGTCAACGGGGCCACTAAGTGGAAGTGAGTTTCCAGGAAGTCCACCCACCGCACCTGTCGTCGTGAGAGTGTCGGCTGTGACTTCAGATATTTGAGACTGCAGTGGTCAGTATAGACTGTAGTCTTGGCTCCCTCTAGGTAACACCTCCACGCCTTGAAGGCTATGACTATCGCTAAGGCTTCCTTGTCATGGATGAGGTAGTTCAGTTCTGCTCCGTATAGCTTCTTACTGAGGTGGGCGATGGGCTGCAACCCGCGTCCGTGATCCTGCATCAGTACTGCTCCGACTGCTTGGCCACTAGCGTCTGCTTCCACCACGTAGTCCTTGTTTGGATGTGGTAGGATGAGTACTGGCGCTGTAGTCAGTGCTGTCTATAGCTGCTCCATGGCTTGCTGATAAGGAGTATCCCATTTGTAGGGCGTATCCTTTTTAAGTAGGTCGGTTAGTGGCGCTGCTATCTTAGCGTACTGCGGCACGAACCTGTTGTAGTAGTTGGCAAAGCCTAGGAACTGTTGCAACTCCTTCACGTTCTCCGTTAGTTTCCATTTCTTGACGGCTTCGATCTTCCGCGGGTCCACGTGTACGCCCTCGGCACTCACCATGTGCCCGATAAACTGCACCGAGAAACTTCTTCAAGGCGAAGTCGCTCTTCGACAGCTTCACATAGAACTTGTTCTTCTCCGTAGGATCTCGAACACCTTCCACAGATGCTCCACGTGCTCCTTCATGTTCTTGGAGTAGATGAGAATGTCATCCAGGTACACCACCATGCATTCGTCCAACAGGGGCCGTAAGATGTGATCCATCTCCGCCTGGAACGTTGCTGGTGCGTTGCAGAGTCCGAACGGCATCACCAAGTATTCATAGGAGCCGTATCTGGTACGGAATGTCGTCTTGTGGACTAAGTTTTCTACCATCTTGATCTGCCAGTAACCCGACCGTAGGTCCAGCTTCGAAAAGACTGTTGCACCACGCAGTTCGTCTAGTAGGTCGTCTATGCGCGGTATAAGGTACTTGTTCTATATTGTCTGCTTGTTTAGTGCGCGGTAGTCGATGTGTCAAACTCATATGCTATAGTCTATGTAGGCTGTAGTGGGGTAGACAATATGGGGTACAACACTTTTAGGTTTTCCTACTTGTACCCACCTACTTGCTAGTTCATTCATTCCTTGTTCTTTCACATGGTATAGAGCAGGTTCCCTAGTGGGAACTTCCTAGGGCCCACCACTGAAAATCGACTTTTTTCTGACCGAAGCGCGAGTCGCCCTTGCCCGAGGCGCGCCCCGTGGGCCGCCTTCTTGTCGATCCCTCCTAGAGGCCCCTCTCACGGCCCCTCGCGCCACCCTTAGCGGCCCCGTCGCCACCCCTAGCGGCCCCGGCGCCGCCCTTCTAGGCCCCTCGAGGCCCCTTCGCGGCCCCGTCGCCGCCCCTAGCGGCCCCGTCGCCGCCCTTCCAGGCCCCTCGCGGCCCCGTCGCCCCCCCCCCCCTCGCGGCCCCGTCGCCGTCCTTTGCGGCCCCGTTGTCGCCCCTAGCGGCCCCTGTCGCCGCCCTTCCTGGCCCCGTCGCCACCCTCTAGCGGCCTCGACGCCGCCCTTTGCGGCCCCGTCGCCGCCCCTTGCGGCCACGTCGCCGCCCCCCCTTTCGGCCCCTCCCTGGCCCCTTCACTGCCGAATTGCCGAGCCGCCAAGCAGCCGAACAGCCGAGCAGCCGAGCCGCCGAGCCGCCGAGCCGCCAAGCCGCCGAACCGCCGAGCCGCCCAGCAGCCGAGCCGCCGAGCCGCCGAGCAGCCGAGCCGTCTGCAGTTTAGCCGCCGAGCTGCCGAGCCGCCGAGCCACCGAGGCCGCCGTCGAGCCGCCACTGCCACTGCCAAGCCGCTGCCACCGCAGTTGCAGCCTTGTTCCTGCCAGCGCGCCCCGGCCCTACCCACCCGGACTGGTGAGAGCCCTCCCTGCTAGACCATTGCTGTCATGGCTACCCCTAGTGTCCTTACCTTTGATGCTGAGGGTCGTGCTGTTGACTTCGAGGTCTGGGTCGATGACCTGCAGCTTTTCCTACAGTGCGATAGGGTAGACGGACTCTCCCTATTCGATCTCACCTCTAATGCTTACAGCACTGTTCGCTCACAGTGGGCCACGCGCGATGCTGCTGCCCATCTTGCTGTGCGTCGCCACTTACCGACCGCAGAGCGTGCGCACTTTAGTCAGTACAAGAGTGCTAAGACCTTGTACGACGCTGTAGTTGCACACTACTCTTCCCCTGCCACTGCTGCTCTTAGCCGCCTCATACTGCCGTACCTGTTTCCTGACCTCGCCGCCTTTCCCACTATCGCTGACCTCGTTATGCACCTCCGCACTAGTGACACTCGCTACCGCGTTGCGCTTCCTGCTGAGTTCTGCGCCAAGACCCCCCCCCCCCATGTACATCACCCTCTACTATATAATCATCCGGCTTCCTGACTCCCTTCGCTCGGTCAAGGACCACTTCCTCTCTTTTTGCCCCACCACACTCATCGTTGACCTCCTCGAGGAGCGCCTCCTGGCAACTGAGAAGAGTATAGTCGCTGTAGGAGCCTCTAGAGGTGACCCGCATGCCCCTGTCTTTGAGGGGTGCTCCCCCTCCCCCCTTTTGCCCTGTGTTGCCTCTGCTGCTGCCGTCGACTTCGTTGGCAACGAGTCGGTCGGCGCTGCGTCTGCCCCTAGCGGGCGACGCCGCACCGGCGAGGGAAAGGGGGGCAAGGGCGCTGGAGGGGCTGGCGGGGGCGGTGGAGGTGGAGGTGGAGGAGGCGGAGGGAGTAGGGGTGGTGGTGGGAGTGGTGGCGGGGGTGGGGGCTTCGGTGGCGGCGGTGGCGGCGGAGGCGGCGGCGGCGGTGGCGATGGGAGCGGAGGAGGAGGCGGTGACGGCGGTGGCGGAGGTGGCGGCGGAGGAGGTGGAGCTAGTTGGGGTGGCTCTGCGCAGCGGGGTGGCTTAGGTGGTGGTCAGCGCCAGCAGCAGCAGCGCACTCGTGAGACCCCGTCCCCCCAGCAGCTTCGTGAGTGGTACGCTGGGCATCAGCGAGGTGGGGATACTGGTCCCTGTACCTACGTCCTCCGTACTGGCGACTGCGGTGGTGAGCAGTGCGGGGGCTCGCACTCCACCCAGCGCTGCTTCGGCCGCCTGACGGACGCTTGGCGTCACCAGTTCCCTGACGCCACTGAGATCCTTCGCTGGGGAGAATTGTCTAGGGCGGGGGTTTATATCTTTGATCTTGACTATGATGCTATTCTTGCTGCCATGTATGCTGTGTCTACTAGTGATGACGGTAACTGTTACCTGTGTGTTCCGCCTGACCCGGGCATTGAGGCTACTGCTCTAGGTTCTGGTGAGGCTGCTGCTCTAGGTGCTAGTGCGTCTGCTGCCCCAGGTGCTGGTGAGTCTGCTATCTCAGGTACCACGTCGGCTCAGGCCTTACACACCTTCACCCTTGACTCGGGTGCGTCCCGCTCCTTCTTTCGAGACCGCACCACGCTTACGCCGCTTAGTCAGTCAGTTGCGGTCTCCCTGGCGGACCCCTCTGGGAGTCCTGTCCTTGCTAGCTTCTCCACTTTTTTACCGTGTCCGGCAGCCCCCTTTGGCACCATGTCAGGTCTCTACCTCCCCTCGTTCTCTACGAACTTGGTGAGTGGTGCTGATCTACAGGATCGGGGGGTTGACCAGTTCACTCCCGCAAGTCAGCGGGTGACCCACTGTACGTGTGCTCAGACGGGCCGACACTTGGCCACGTTTACCCGTCGGCCGGGGTCGAGCCTGTACACACTGGCTACTCAGTCTCCTCCGGATGCTGCGTCTGGTCAGGTAGCTGCGTCGAGTCAGGTGTCTGCTGCAGCGTCCAGGTCTGGTCCATAGTCTGCTCCCTGCTCGTGTCGTCTCCTGACCCACCAGACTCTCCTTTGGCACCACCGCCTTGGTCACCCCTCCCTGCCTCGTCTCCGAGGCATGGCCTCCCGTGTCCTTGTCTCTGGTCTCCCCCAATCCCCCCCTTCCCTCCCTCAGGGGTCTGCCCCTACCTGCGTTCCCTGCGTCGAAGGGCGGCAGCGCGCCGTCCCACACTCCTCCGAGTTTCACCACGGTGGGTGACGACTACTCGCATTACACCACGGTGTTCCCCTTACGCAGCAAGGGTGACGTCACTTAGGTGTTGATCGACTGGATCCGCGCAGCTCGTCTCCAGCTCAAAGAGAGTTTCGGCTCAGACTTTCATGTTCTGCGTCTGCACTGTGACATAGGCGGGGAGTTTTCCTCTGCCCGTCTGAGAGCATTCTGTCGTGCAAAGGGCATCCGCCAGACCTTCACGCTTCCAGCCTCTCCACACCAAAATGGGATTGCTGAGTGCCGCATTGGCATGGTCACAGACGTCGCTCGTACGTCCATGGTCCATGCGGCTGCTGTTGAGATAGAGGCGAGGAATGGTGCACTATGAAATCAGAGAAGTACAAGTACCAACCCTAATTGGGTTGTACCCACTATGGGCTACCCCACTACAGCCTACATATATGCATCAGCAATATATAATCATCTGACACACCCCCATCGGCAAAGTGGGGGAGAGCAAGGGGTCACAAGACCAGTCAAGCAAAGCAAAGCAAAGCAAAGCAAAGCTCAGGGTGGATCTCAAGGATACCACACAAATTCCGAGCACAAGGTCAAGGCCACAAGGCCAGTTCACATGCAGCAGAGCATATATATATAACAGTGCTAAACAAGCAAGAGCAAGGATATATATATGCAGCAGTACAAGCAAGGTCAAGAGGTAAGCAAGTGAGGCCCAGTGGGCACAAGGCCTAGCAGAGTGCAAAAGCGCTGATGGTCACGAGGCGGAAGTGCCTTGGTGAACACATCAGCAGTGTTGGCCTCAGTGGCCACGAAACGCAGAAGAAGCTGACCACGCTGCTGCAGCTCTCGAGCAAGGAAGTAGCGCAGAGCAATGTGCTTCGTCCTGTGCTCCAGTCTGTGCTCCTGACACAAGGCAATGGTTGCCTTGTTGTCGACGTACAGCACTGGAGGAGAACGAAGCCGCTCTCCAAGGTCAGTCAGCAAATAGGTGAGCCAGCAAAGCTCCTGGGCAGCCATGGCCGTGGCGTAGATCTCAGCCTCACAGCTGGAGCTGAGAACAGAAGAAGAGCGAGTAGAGCGCCAAGAGACAGAGCCAGAGCCAAGACTGAAGGTGTAACCCTGAGACGACCGCTGAGTAGCCTGGTCGTCAGCCCAAGAAGCGTCTGAGTGCCCAGTGAGCACAGGCCGCTCACGCCCTCCAAGCACTAGCCCCATGCCCGACGTACTGCACAAGTAGCGCAACACCCTCTTAGCTGCATCCATGTGCTCCTTCCGGTGACGGCCGGGAGCAACATAGCGTGCTAAGATGCTGAGAGGGTATGCGAGGTCAGGTCGAGTGCAGGTCATCACGTACATGAGGCAGCCCACAAGCTCTGGATACGGACCACTCGACTCTACGGACTCATCCGAAGGAAGAGCTGAGAGCGAGTGTCCCGTAGGCAGAGGAGTGGACTGAGGCGAGGAGTACGTGAAGCCGAAGCGCTGAAGGACCTGCTGCACCATGTGTGACTGAGTCAGGGTAATGGTGCGGCGTGCTCTGTCCCGGGTGATCCGCAAGCCAAGATAGCTTGTCAGTTCACCCAGGTCTGTGCACGTGTGTCTCTTCTGCAGCTCGGACTTCACGTGGGCGAGTGCGGCAGTGTCCGCAGTGGCAAAGACCAAGTCGTCGACGTACACGAGGATGTAGAATGGCGGCAGCGAGGTGTCGGTGCGCAGAAACAGCGACGGGTCAGCAGTAGAAGGAGCAAACCCAAGAGCCGCAAGTGTAGTCCTCAGTGTGTCGTGCCACTCACGCGGCGCCTGGCGGAGACCGTAGACTGGCCGCCGGAGGCTCCACTGGGTACCAGGAGGGAACGACCCAGTGAAGCCAGGAGGGCGGCGCAGCCAGATCTCCTCGTGCAGGCGGCCCTGCAGGAAAGCAGTGCTGAAGTCAAGAGAGTGTAGCTCGTAGTCACGCTGAGCAGCGACGTGCAGTAGAACCCGAAGAGTGGTCATCTTCGGGGTCGGGGAGAAGGTCTAAAAGAAGTCAACTCCCTGTCGCTGACTGAAGCCACGAGCCACGTAGCGCGCCTTGAAGACAGGCGGAGAACCCGGCGGCCGCTTCACCCTGAAGATCCACATGCCACTGACAATGTTCGCCCCAGGAGGGGGAACAGCGTCAACGTAGGTGCCTGTGGACTTCCAGGAAGCCATCTCTGCGTCCATGGCTGACTGCCACTGAGAGGAGTAGGGACCGGCCATCGCCTCTGCGTAAGAGCGTGGGGTCGGGATGTCTAGAGCATCCGGGTCTCCCTCAGGGGCAACAAGCATGGACACGAGATGGGGCAAAGCGGCGGCAAAGCACTGGAACTCCTCCTGCTTGTCCTCAAGGACGTCCGTGCCAAGAGCACAGTCACCCCCAACGGACGGAGGACAGGCAGACACAGACGCAGCAGACGCAGACTCAGCAGACTGAGCAACAAGACTGGCAGCGTAGTCTAGACGACACGCAGCAGCAAAGTCGACTAGCTCAGCAACTAGGGCAGAAGCAGCAGCGGACTCAAAGGAAGGGTCAGTGACAAGAGAAGCAAGCAGACGCGTGACAGTAGGACTGGCAGCACGGCGAGAGTCCGACTCCGGGTCGGCAAGTGTAGGAAGAGAAGACTGAGGAGGAGAAGGCAAAGGGGCACGCAGAGGAGCAGTGGACGGACGCAGAGACATCCTGTGTGTGCCAGGGACAGGAGGAGGACGCTGACGCGAACCGCGACCACTAGGGCGAGCAGCTCGGACTGGCGACGCAGGGCGGGACGAAGGCTCACGACGCTCAGCAAGACCTCCAGTAGGACCAGTGTAGGGAGAAGGAGAAGGCAGGGGAGAGGCGGGCTGTAACTGTGACTGTGACGGGACAGGCTGTGGACACTCTACGGGAGGAGAAGGACCAGTGGAAGGCGGGAGACCAAGAACCTGCTGAAGGAGCGGAACGAAGTACGGCCGAGGCCGCGCAGCACCGCTAGAGACAGCAGGGACAGCACCAACACCTCCAGAGGCAGCACCAGCACCAGTAGCAGCTCTAACTCCAGCACCTCCAGCAGCGCCAGAAGTACCCTCAGTAGGACCGACAGTCGTAGTCTCAGCGCCAGCACCCGCAGCAGCTCCAGCTCCAGAGGCACCCCCGGGCCCGGCAGCTCCTGTACTCGCAGTACATGCACCTCCGGGACCCGAGGGACCAGCTCCCTCGGCAGCAACAGAACCTCCAGCACCCGCAGCACCCCCAGCTCCAGCAGCTCGCCTCCAGCGCCGGGCAAACCACTCACGCAGCTCCAGAGGAGAGAGCGGCTCGCGGCGCGAAGGGTGGAGTGTGGACCACCACACGGCTCACCCGCACGGTCGCCAGTGCGTAGGACGTAGGTGCACGGACCAGTACCCCACCCCTCTGACGTGCAGCGTACCACTCACGGAGCTGCTGCGGGGAGAGGGTCTCCTGACCACGCTGCTGCCGCTGCTGCTGGCGCTGACCACCATCGGAGCCACTCCTCTGCGACGAGCCACGACCTCCGCCGCCGCCTCCTCCGCCGCCGCCGCCACCACCTCCGCTGCCACCGCCACTCCCACCGTCGCCGCCGCCACCGCCGCCTCCGCCTCCACTCACACCACCACCGCCGCTGCCGCCCCCGCCTCCACTGTCGCCGCTGACACCTCCACTCCCGCCACCACTCCCGCTACCACCCCCACCTCCTACACTGCCTCCACCACCGCCTCCACCGCCCCCGCCGCCTCCACCACCGCTCCTGCCCCCCTTTCCCTTGCCAGAGCGACGTCTCCCACTGGGGGCAGACGCCGCACCGACCGACTCAAAACCAACTAGGTCGGCCGTAGCAGCAGAGGCGACAGAGGGCAGGAGGGGGGAGGGGGAACACCCCTCAAAGATGGGGGTGCGCGGGTCACCACGAGAGGCCCCTACAGCGAGAATGCTCTTCTCGGCCGCTAGGAGGGACTTCTCGAGGAGGTCAACAGTGAGAGTGGTGGGGCAGACTGAGAGTAAGTCGTCCCTGACTCCGCGAAGGGAGTCAGGGAGGCGGGTGACAATGTAGTAGAGAGTGAAGTACATGGGGGGGGGGGGGGTTCTTGGCGCAGAACTCAGCAGGAAGCGCAGCGCGGAAGCGAGCGTCACTAGTGCGCAGGTGGGTAATGAGGTCGGTGACTGTGGCAAAAGAAGCAAGGTCGGGAAAGAGGTACGGTAGCATGAGGCGGCTCAGTGCAGCAGTGGCAGGGGAGGAGTAGCGTGCAATAACGGCGTCGTACAAGGTCTGAGCACTCTTGTACGACCCAAAGTGTGCACGCTCAGAGGGAGGGAGGTGGCGACGCACAGCAAGACGTGCAGCAGCATCGCGTGTGGCCCACACTGAGCGAACAGTGGCATCCTCAGTAGCAGCAGGGGCGGGAGAGGCACCAGAAGTGAGATCAAAGAGAGAGAGGCCGTCAGCTCTGTCGCAGTGTAGGAAAAGCAGCAGGTCGTCTACCCACACGTCAAAGTCGATGGCTCTGCCCTCAGCGTCAAAGGTGAGGACACTGGGGGTAGCCATGACAGCAGTAGGGTGAGGGCAGTGCGCAGAGTAAAGCTCAGTGCTCACCAGACAGGGCAGTGCAGGCGGCTCGGGCGGCTCGGGTGGCTCGGGCGGCTCGGCAGGTCGGCTGGTGGGCGGCTCGGGCGGCTCGGCGGCTCGGGCGGCTCGGGCGGCTCGGCTGCTGGGGCGGCTCGGCTGCTGGGGCGGCTCGGCTGCTGGGGCGGCTCGGTTGCTGGGGCGGCTCGGCTG